CTGCTTCCAGCTTTTTGGTGGTTAATTAGAGGTAAGAATTTCACAGACTGTCCTGCCTGGCCTGACTTCAACCTGTGATCACCAGATCTCAACCTCCTGAGTAGCTAGGATTACAGAAGGGAGCCATTGGCACCCAGCTACAGGCTCCCAATTTTACACAAGAGGGAACTAAGATTCAGAAAGGGATGTATCCTTTGGTCAAGGTCAACCAGCTTGTAAGCAGCAGAGTTAAGATTTGAATTCAGGCCTAGCTGCCCCAGATGATGAATACCTCTCAGCCATACAGTTGGATCCTGTCCTGAAGGGCATATGGTGGGCCAACTGATTACATAAATCACACAAAGCCTCACATGCTAAGTGCTAAATGTGTCATGTCTGACTCCACCCTTTCCCTCGGCGGCCCCCAAACCTAGCTGTCACCACGTCTGGCTGAAACTGTGAGAGCTTGGGAATGGCTCTGCCCTTGACCTCCCTCTAATTCAAGTCCCCCCCCCTCCCCCCCCCCCCCGGAATGGGGCTTGAACTCTGGCCCTCAACACTGTCCCTGTGCTCTTCAGCTCAAAGCAAGCACTCTTCCATTTGAGCCACAGTGCTACTTCCTGTTTTCTGGTGGTTAATTGGAGATAAGAGTCTCACGGACTTTTCTAACTCAGGCTGGCTTTGAACCACGATCCTTAGATCTCAGCCTCCTGAGTAGCTAGGATTATAGGAATGAGCCACTGGCACCTGGCTTCAAGTACTTCTTAACACTCATGGTCCAAAGTCATAGGCTCCTAGCTAGCCTCCTGTCTATAGGTATACCTTCCACTCTGCTTTCCCCCATCGGGAGTCAGAATTCCTAACTGGTGATCCTTAGTCATTATGCCAGGGCTCAAAGCTATCCCAGATCCTTACTGAGTCCAGAATGAAGTTCAAATTCCTCCAGTAGGCACTCAGAAGCCCTGGTTGAGCTCCAGGCTCCCCTTAATCCCTTTATCTTTCTTTCTTTCTTTCTTCCTCCCTTCCTTCCTTCCTTCCTTGCTTTTCTTCCTTCCTTCCTTCCTTGTTAATACTAAGACTTTAATTCAGGGTCTTAGTGCTGTACCTTTTCCACTCAAAGCTGCATCTCTGGGCTGGGAATGTGGCTTAGTGGTACAGTGCTTGCCTAGCATGCATGAAGCCCTGGGTTTCATTCCTCAGTACCACATAAACAAAAAAGGCCAGAAGTAGTGCTATAGCTCAGGTGCTAGCCTTGAACAAAAGCAGCTTGGGAGAGTGCCCAGGCCCTGAGTTAAAGCCCCAGGACTGGCAAAACAACAACAGCAACAAAAAAAACCCCAAACCCTGCATCTCTACAACTTGAGCCATACCTCCATCATTTCCAGTTTTGTTTTTTTTTTTTTTTGTCAGTCATGGGACTTGAATTCAGGGTCTGGATACTGTCACTGTCTTTCACTCAAGGCTAGAGCTCTAGCACTTCCAGTCACAGCTCTAGTTTCAGTTTTCTGGTGGCTAATAGTGGAGATGAGTCTCATGGACTTTCCTGCCTGGGCTGGCTTTGAACCTCGATTCTTAGATCTCAGCCTCCTGAGTAGCTAGGGTTACATGTGTGAGCTACCAGCACTAGTGGCTTTTTTATTTTTAATTATTGTATTTTCACTTCCAGCTTTTTGATGATTAATTGGAGATAAATAAGAGTCTCACTGACTGCCTAGGCTGGCTTAAGACCTTGATCCCCAGACCTCAGCCTCCTGAATAGTTAAGTATTACATGCATGAGCCACTTTACCAGTGTTCCCTTAATTTTGACTGTGCCATTCTCTCCTCAAACACCCTGTGTGCTCTCTAGTTTCTGCATGCCCACCTCCATGCCTTTGCCTAGATGGGGGTGGGGGGGGGGGTGGAGGGTGAGGGCTTTCCTGCCAGCAATGTCCTTTCCCTGACTTTTCTCAATACAATTCCAAAATGTTAAGATCGAACTGAAATGCAAGCTCTTCGTTGAGCCTTACAGACTCACAGAACAAGGATAATCTCTCCTTCCTCTGATTCATCAACATTGTGTGCCTTTATGGCCAGGACCCACATAACACAATAGCAAAGACTTAGGTTCTCGTGGCCTATGCTGGGATTCCCAAGAGCACACTTGTCTTTGGAAATGGAAAGAGTGCAAGTGGGAGAGTTCATGAAGATGTTCAGAAAGGTAGCAGAGCACAGCTTCAAGACCACAGATTCAGCTAGGTGCAGTGGCTCATGCCTGTAATCCTAGCTACTCAGGAGGCTGAGATCTGAGGATTGCAGTTCGAAGCTTGCCTAGGCAAGACAGTCTATGAAATTATCTCCAGTTAGCTAGGAAAAAAAAAAAAAAAAGGAAGTGGAGGTGTGGCTCAAGTAGCAGAATGCCAGCTTTGAGCGAAAAAACTAAGGGACAGTGCCTAGGCTCTAAGTTCAAGTCCTAGTACGGGCACAAAACAAAACCACAGATTCTAGAACCCAATTGCATGGGTTCAAAATGAGCTTTAACTCTCTCTAGCTAAATAACTTAGGGGATATTGCTTAACTTCTCTGAGCTTCAGTTACCTCAACCTGAAAAAGTGAGGTACTCTGAGTACCTACCATGAAGACTGGATAGACAATGAGATGTAAAACCCTGGGAACTGTGCCTGGTATATAGCAGGCCCAAACCAAATGTTATGGCTATTATTATTAGCAAAGCCAAGAGAAAGGGATTCTTGGTCCTGGTAGAGGGCTGCCAAGGGCTGTTTCTGCTTCTCAAGTCTGTTTCCTATGCACTCTTGGAAGGTAAGGTAGGTCAGACAGTAAGACCCATTTTACAGGTGTGGAACTGAGGGCATGCTCAGGGAAATGCCAGTGAGGAAGCTGCAGAGCCGCCATAACTCTTCATTGTGGTGTAGGGCTACTGTCTTGCACCTGCTGTTCAGGCCTCACATGGCAGCCAGTTCCCTCCCCACACAGAGGATCCAGCCAAGGTACCCTCCGACCTCCTTGTCTGTACATATCCTCCCACAAGCCAGGCGCAGTACAGTGTTGTATACAACTGGAGCAAACAGGCATGTACGCATGCGTGCACGCACGCACGCATGCGTGCACGCACGCGCACGCACGCGCACACACACACACACACACACACACACACACTCACACACACAACCTACTGAAGGGCCCAGGCCCCAAAGGTGAAGAAAACCTGTTCTGAGGAATCTGCCTACTGAGCAAATTCTGTCTGAGGCCCTTCTAATCACAGGAGTGGTGCCCAGTGTGCGTCAGAGATCCCCCGCAAGGAGGAGATAGAGGGAGAGGATGAGTGAGCAAGAGCGAGTGAGCAAACCGAACCGGGAGGAGCTGAAAACTTCACATCGTTGTTTTTTTTTTTTCCATTTTAGTGACAAAAGTCACACCCGACCTTTACATAAACATGGCCAAGGAGCCACTCTGTCTAAGCTCACTTCCCTTGCAGGCGCCAACACTCTCCTCCCAGTGACCCTGACCCACTGGATGAGGGGCAAGCAACAGACCCTGGAAAAGACAAGCTGTACCACCCCATGCCTCCTGCCTGCTGCTCCTACTCTGCCCATATTTATCTCCCCGACTTTCCTTAACATTCCTTTGGCAGCCCCACACCACCAGTTAAGCACAAGGAAGGTAAGCACACACACAGCTATGGCTGGTCTCTGGATCTAAGGCCCACATTGCCCTGTCATGCCACCTCTCGCCCCACAAATGTTTTCTGTTTGCCTCCCAACCCTACAGAGAGTCCAGACAGGCCCCCACAAACAACGTCACCAAAGAATCCTGTGGAGGATGGTGCAAACACACAGCCTTCTTGCTTGGCTGCCCATGATCACACAACTTGCATATCCCACCCAGACCCCCTCACACCGGTGCCAGCAGACCCGCAGGCACCCTAGACACACCCTAGGGTTTCTCACTTCCCTTGTGGTCAGTGGGATTTGAGTTCCAGATAGGCAAATCCCCTTGCAACTTGCTCATCACACACAAACTTAGCCATCCGCCTGACCTCGCCACAACTGGACCACACCTCAGCAGAGCTACAGAAACAGGACCCTGACATCCCTTCTGACTCAAAAGTCCGCAACTTGTCCCTTCAAATGGAAACATCCTGGCGCCCTCCATAGCATATACCCGACAGGCCAGCCACTCAGAGAACAACTGTTTACATAAACAGTTCCTATGTGCAACTCAAGACATGCGTGCAAGAAAACATACATGAACAAACTGTGCTCAAGGTATTGTGCCCTCCTTAGAATGTCTGTCACCCAGAGCCACAGAGCCATATCTGGTAATTCTGCTCCACAACACTGGATACCCCTCCTGGCTGTCTATTTCTATGGCCCAGTTGAGGGCCTTACCTGGACCCTTGGGTGCTAGAAGAGCAAACGGTGGTGCCCAGGGCACTTTACCTTGCCCCACAACACGGCAGGGAGATACAATCTCCGAGACTCGCAGCTACAACCCTGCCCCGACGGGCTGGCGGTTCCGGGGCCCCTGCTTTCAATGCACACCCCGAACACCCCAACTCTGGGGCGCTCAGCGGCCCACCCCTCCCCCCCTCTCTGCCTGGCTCCTACGCCATCGCCCTTCCAGCAGTTTGCAGCGCTAGCCCGGGCTCACACCCGCCCCACCCCACCCCCAACCTGCCCCACAGAGGGAGGGGGACATGAGGCTGCAGAATTAACCCTTCAGGAGTGAAGGCGACCCCCCTCCACCCCCTTGATGGTCCCGGGTAGTTGGGTCCCCCGGCCACCGCTCACTCGGACGCCATACCAGGGCCCTCCTTTAGTCGCCCCCCCCCCCCCAGCGCTGTGTGCTCCCGGGGGCGGGGCCTACTCAGCCCCCGACCCCTGCGCCCCCAGGTCAACTCCAAAGGGGAGCGGTCTGGGCGTGGGGCGCGGCCGGGGCCCCCGCGGCGCCGGGCAGCGGGGAGGGGTCCCGGCAGTGGGCTCCGGTCCGCCCTGGCTCTGCCCGGTTCGCCCCGGGGCCCACCTGACTGCGATGGCGCCGTGTCCACCAGGCCCGGCTCATCACCGTGGCCGCCCCCGGCCGCTCCGGTTTCGCCCGCCTCCAGCTCTGGCTCTGGCTTCGGCCCGGGCCCCCCCAGCGCCCGGCCCCGGCCCGGCCCCGCCGCCGCCGCCGCCGCTGACATCATCGGCTCCCCCCGCCCCGGTCCTACCCCCACCCCCACCCCCGGAAACAGTCCCCCCCCCCCCAGCGCCACCACCGCCGCCGAGACGAGGCCGGCGCAGCGCAGCCGGCACCGGCGGCACCAGGCTCCAGCATCCGATGGCCTCCGCCAGGCCGATCCCACGCAGGGAACCGCGAGGCGCAGGCCCACGGATAGGGTGGACACTGCGCGAGGGCAGGCTAGGCTGCAGTACCCCCGAGGGGCGCACGACAACCTGCTCTGGGAAGGACACCCCCTGCCCGCCCTTTCTCCACGCGCCCTTCGTTCCGCGGTGACACACGCGCAGAATGAGCACACACAACCCATCCTCTGGGGTCGCAGATACACGGTGGGGCCCCGTGAGACCCACAGAACCCGGGTCAGCACGTTCATGGGGCTTCCTTGGGCGCGCGTGTACACATACACACAGAGGAATGTGTGGGGATGTCACTGGGCCCACAGGCAAGAAGAACTTAACCCTACATAGTGAAGCACATATCTATGACAACCAGATCAGATAAACATGCAGCTGAGCACTTTGCCTCCACCAACAGAAATAGCCACATCCATATATTTGTACATAAATACAGATGTTTTGCTGTGGCTTATTTGCACCAGCAAAACACCAGGTGGAAATAGACCCCGAAACCTTCCTGAAATTCCAGAGAGGAGATTTCAGAACTCCTCTCCAACTCTGGAAAACTTTAAAAAATACAGGACGGGGCTGGGAATGTGGCTTAGTGGTAGAGTGCTTGCTTAGCATGCATGAAGCCCTAGGTTAGATTCCTCAGTACCACATAAACAAAAACAGAACAAACAAACAAAAACAGGAGCTAGCTCCTCAGAACTACTCTCCTAAAAAGTATGACAGGTGCTGGTGGGTCACACTTGTAATCCTAGCTACTTAAGAAGCTAAGAGCTGAGGATCTGGGTTTGAGGCCAGCCCAGGCAGGAAAGTCTGTGAGCCTCTATCTCCAATTTATCAGCAAAAAGCCAAAAGTGCAGCTGTGACTGAAGTGGTAGAGTGCCAGCTAGCCTTGAGCAAAAAAGTTCAAGGACAGTATCTAGGCCCTGTTCAAGTCCCAGGACTAGCAAAAACAAACAAACAAAAAAACCCTTTATGAAATAAGATGAGACAAAACTAAGTCCAAAGAAGCCTCATCATTAAGCTAGTTATAAAGAGAAGTGAGAAAAAGGAATCAGACAGAGGGACAGATATAAAACACACAGAGTTGGAATTAATGAGAAAACAGGCCCACCCCCCTCAGGAAGGTTCCAGGGAAAGAACTCCACCCCCACTCCAACCAGGTCACAATGGCTGGAGCTCTGAGGGGCTCAGGCCCCCTGAGCCAGGAGGAGAGAGGAAGTCCAAGGAAGGATGGTGAGTATGGGGGGAACAGAGGGTGTAGCAAGGGCAACACTGATCCTGGTCATCCTCTTTCCCCTTCTCCCCTAAAACTCCCCGTGGTCTTAGACATACCCACAAATGCAACACCCAGAAGTCCCTAGAGCTTGTGATATCACAGAGATATACAACATGGGAAGCTGTCCCCCACTTGCCAACAGAACATTCCTCGGTTATTGTTTTTTCCCTCTCAGGAACAACCTGCCCAGAAAAACATGATGCTCTGGGACTGTTTACTCCCTGCTTCCCCCTAGATGCTTAAGGCTTACATCGTACCACATAATCTATTTTTCAAACCCTTTCGAGCTCCTACAAGTTCCTCTACTATCCTACAGACAGAATTTCAGATCAGTCTAGCATTTAAGCTGCCCTAAATCCGCCAGACTGTAGGTGTTCTCGTGTTTGAGTTCCTTTCTCCTTAACAGGCTGGCAGTCACCCCTACTTCAACCTGCCTGACTTCACCCAGCCATCACCATCCTCCAGTCCGCCTGGCCTCCCTTCGAACCAGCGCTGCCGGCCCTCCGATGCCACCAAGGGCCTACTTGTAGCCCTGCTTGGTGGGGGCCTGCCTGCTGGCTTTGTGGGTCCTTTCTCCCGTATGGCTTACCAGGCTTCCCACTTGCCCTCACTGGAGCTGCTCATCTGTAGATGCCTCTTCCACCTTCCCATTGCCCTGCTACTTAAGCTTCGTGGTGACCCTCTCCTAGGACCTCCTGATTTCCGGGGGCGGGCCTTCCTCCACGCTCTGCTCAATGTCCTCAGCATCGGATGTGCCTACAGTGCAGTTCAGGTGGTACCTGCAGGAAATGCTGCCACAGTTCGAAAAGGTTCTTCCACCGTGTGCTCTGCCCTCCTCGCACTCTGCCTCGAGAGCCAGGGTCTCAGCGGCTATGACTGGTGTGGCCTGTTAGGCAGCACCTTGGGACTGATCATTATCGTGGGACCTGGACTAGGGACATTGCAGGAGGGGACCACGGGCCTCTACACAGCCCTGGGCTATGTGCTGGCTTTCCTGGGAGGCCTGGCCTTGTCACTGGGGCTTCTGGTCTACCGCTCCCTGCACTTCCCCTCCTGCCTACCCACAGTGGCCTTCTTATTTGGCTTGGTGGGGTTAATTGGCTGTGTGCCAGGACTGTTTGTGCTGCAGACCCCCGTGCTACCTAATGATCCTCTGAGTTGGAGCTGTGTGGGGGCAGTAGGGATCCTTGCCTTGGTGTCCTTTGTGTGTGTGAGCTATGCAGTCACCAAGGCCCACCCTGCTCTGGTGTGCGCTGTCCTGCACTCTGAGGTAGTGGTTGCCCTCATGCTGCAGTATTACGTGCTCTATGAGACGGTGGCACCTTCTGACATCATGGGAGCAGGAGTTGTGTTGGGTAGCATTGCCATCATCACCGCCCAGAACCTCAGCTGTGAGAAGCAAGGGCAGGTGGAAGAGTGAGATCGAACTTGAGTGTCTGGGGACTTTGGGGGGGCAGGGGTAAATAGCAGAGACGAATACAAACATGGGAGAACAAGTGCCTGGAAAAGAACTGATATGGGGATTCAAGCGTGACTGGGGACTTGGTGGAGGGGGGAAACCTGGAAGATCGAAAACAAGTCTGAGATCCAAGGGACCTCACCCGGGCCTTGGGAATCAGGACATAACTAAGGCGTACTTTTAGATACAAGGGGTTGAGGCAGGCTAGCTATGGGCCATGGGGAGAATTTCCCTGGGCAGCAGAAAGAGCAATGGGCTGGAGTGTGCAGGTGGTCAGGCAAATAGGCAGCAGCTGCTGGGGGGAGGGGAGTGTTGCTTTTCCCCCTGGAGGACACTTTCCTTCCCTCTTCGTAGTGCCCCCCCCCCTTGGGGTGGTGACGTGACACCAACATCAAACAAGGATCACTGGGTATTTGGCTATGGAGCGGGTGTGAAGTTCTACATCGCTCTTATTGGAGAATCCCTTGGGATCCCCGCCTCCCAGTTTGTTTCTAATATATTCCAGAAGTGGAGGATTTCCTAAATGTTCGAATTCCTTGGCCCTTAACGTTCCTAGGACTTTCATATCTCGCCCCGGGGTTATTCTGTCCCTCCCCGCCCCCCCCCCCGCGCCCTCCCCCTCCTCCCCCCCCCCCGTAGTAGCAGTCCCGTGATCTCTCTCGGACAGCAGCCAGTCCTTCCAAAAAGCAGGCTTTCGAGCTGAGGCTTCTTGGATCGTCTCAGGCTGGGGGATCTGGGTCCAAGACTCGGTACAAGCACTCCAGAAGACATCCACTTATCCCCCGGAGGTCGCTCGACCAACAGCGGCTACTTCCGGACCAGCAGTTGGATTCGCCATCTTGATCTGCTCATACATATTCAGCGTTGAGACTGAATATTCATGACCAACGGCGCTCCTCCCCCTCCCCTCTCCAGCTCCCCCCCCCCCCCCCCCCCCCGCCGGGATCGACTCCAGAGGACCCGACCGGCCCCGCCTCCACCACCGACTCGCAGAACAGACCATTTTCTACCTGGAGGGGGGGAATAATGATTTTATTTTTTTTGGCTAAAGATGATACTTTACTCCAAAATAGAATAAAGGCGGCCTAACTTTATCCTTGATTTTTTCAAACGGCCAATGGCAGTGCTAAGCGGGGGGCTGGCGAGGGGAAGAGGTGGGATTAGGAGAACACCCCTCCAGTCATTTCAAAAGCTCACCCAAGCAAGGGAGCCCGGGAGGAAGGACCAACCGCTCCAGCGCGCGCTCCGTGCAGGCCGGCGCAGTCGGCCCCGTAGCGCAAGGGAGGGCGGGAAAGGAAGGGGCGGGGGAAAAGGCAGGGGCGAGTCTATAAAAGGCGTCATTCGGCCAGTTCGCTTCTCAGAAGCGCCGAGAGCGCGGCCGGGACGGTTGGAGAAGAAGGTGGCTCCCGGAAGGGGGAGAGACAAACTGCCGTAACCTCTGCCGTTCAGGAGCCCGGTTACTTATTTATTCGTTACTCCTTTTCCTCTTCCTCCTTCCCCCCCCCAAAACCTCCTCCTTTCCCCGCTTTTTTTTTTCTTTTTCCTTTTTGGGAGCTGAAAAACCTTCGCGAAGGGATAGAACGGTTCCTTTCGCTCCTTTTCGTTTCTCCGCCTCCTTCCCTTCCCCCTCCCCTTCCCTCCTCCAGCCTTTTCCTCCCTACTCGGGGAGGTCCTTCCCGCTGGCCGCCCCGACGGGATCTGAGTACCTAGGCGGAGGTGGCGCAGGCTTTTTGTAGCGAGGTTTGCGCCTGCGCACCGCGCCCGCCTCGCCATGCACGGGGGTGGCCCCCCCTCCGGGGACAGCGCATGCCCGCTGCGCACCATCAAGAGAGTGCAGTTCGGAGTTCTGAGTCCAGATGAGCTGGTAAGCTGTGCCGCCTCACTGCTGTTGCTCCCCGGCCGTGTCTTGGGAAATGTGGCTGTTCTCACTGCTTATGGGTGACCTGCCGAGAGGATTGGATTGGTGGCGCCGAGGCCTTGCGAGGTCTAGCTTCAGGGTTGCCAGAGTTTAAATTAAAAGGATTTAAGCAAGCTTAGCTCCCTGCCCAGGGTTTGTCTAGGGCAG